CTAAAGGGACTAAGGGACTAAAGGGACTAAGGGACTAAAGGGACTAAGGGACTAAGGGACTAAAGGGACTGTTAGCGTCCATGATGGATCACTTGGACGCTAAACGATGATTAAGATGCGCCTTCTAGTCTAATTGGCTTAGGACAACTGCCCGGATAGCAGAAGGTATGGGTTCGAGTCCCATGAAGGTCATCTTTTTCATCGTTCTGTCACATAACATCAGTGACACTGCTTGTCTCTTTCGTTCTATACATATGGAGCTAACAGGGACTAAAGGGTGTGGGTGTGGGTGCGGGTGCGGGTGTGGGTGTGGATGTGGGTGTGGGTGTGGGTGTGGGTGTGGGTGTTAGTCCGCTCTTTAATGAGACCCACACCCACACCCACACTCAAACCCACACCCACAGTCAAACCCACACCCACACCCACACCCGCACCCTAGAAATAACAAGAAACATCAAAGTTTTGAACAAAAATATACAGAAAGAGTTAATTTTCTTGTGTCTTATTCTTGTTCACTATTTATTATGAATGTGTTTATTTCTCTTATTAAGGCCTCATAAAAGAGCTCTCCTTCCTGATTTTTTACAGCATCCCTCAATTTCGTTAATGACACTTTGGCATAATTCTCTACTATGATTGGTTTCTCTGCACCGTACACGACTACTTCTCTCTCTTCCTCTTCTACTGTCACCGCAGCACCTTGTACTAACGCAGTGAGGGTCGCCAAATGAAGCCAACGTTCTTCCTGCGATCTCAAATAGAAGGTTAGAAAAATATCAGGTGGTACTTTCTGGAAGTGTGTTCTGTGAGTATCGTTTATGGAGAAATCCAGTTTTGCTATAAGCTCATCATTGAGCTCTTCTATAGCCACACCCTTGTTGAGACATTTTGCCAAAGCTTCGCGGACGAAAGACACGTCATTAGGTTGACAGTGGAGTCTCACTAGGGCAACGATCACCTTATTGTCTTCTCCTGCCTTGCCGATTTTACCGAGAAGCTCGCACGCACTCCTTGCCACATGGTAGTTGAAATCGTCGTTAATTTCCTCGGTGAGTACTTTCAACAGGGCATCGATCACCCCCCTGTTATCTCCTACGTTGTCGATTTCACCGAGAGTACGGCACGCAGCCTGTCTCACTTCGCAGAACTCCTCCTCGTCGATGAGTACTTTCAACAGGACATCGGTTACCTTACTGTCAGCTCCTGCCATGCCGATTTCATCAAGAATATGGCACGCACTCAGTTTCATTCCGATCTTCTTCTGCGTGTCACTGACTACTTTTAACAGGGCATCGATCACCTTCCTGTTATTTCTTGCCTTGCCGATTTCATCGAGAGCCTCGCATGCACCCAGTCTCATCCAATCGCTCTGATCGCCGATGAGTTCTTTAATTAGGGCACTAATGACCTTCTTGTTATCTCCTGCCTTGTAGATTTTGATGAGAGCGTCACACGCACATATTACCGCCGTATGGCTCATATCCTTGGTGAATACATCCCACAAGGCATCGATCACCTTGCTGTTATCTCCTGCCTTGCTGATTTCACCGAGAGCAAAGCACGCATACGCTCTCAGATGGTCGCTCGGATCGTAGTAACTACCATTGTCTCTCTGATCGTCTTCCTGATAGTATCTCTGATTGTCTGTGAGTACTTTCAACAAGGCAACGACCACCTTACTGTCATCTCCTGCCTTGCCGATGTCACCGAGAGCATAGATCACAAGCTCTCTCACCTCGTTGTCCTGACTTTCGGTGAGTACGTTCAACAGGTCACTGATCACCTTACTGTCATCTCCTGCCTGACCGATTTCACAGAGAGCAACACAGGCGGCTTCTCTTACTTCGTAGCTCTGACCGTCGGTGAGTACTTTCACTAGGGCATCGATCACCTTCCTGTTATCTCCTGCCTTGCCGATTGCACCGAGAGCCTTGCATGCACTCAGTCTCACATTGTCGTCCTGATCCTTGGTGAGTACATCCCACAGGACAGCGATCACATTCCTGCTATCTCCTGCTTTGCCGATTTCACCAAGAGCCTCGCATGCAGCCGTTCTGATTGGAACCTCGTAGTTCTCTTCCCTTACGCGTTCTATAACAAGGAAAACTAGCTCTGGTGAAGGCTGCGACATGTGTGAGACGCACAGAAGTATCGCTGTGTTAAAATCAACACCATGGTCTGTCGATTGAAAAAGTTCTTTGAGTGTACTCATTATTTTTTCCTCACGAGCTAATGTAGTTGTTCGTGTGAAGGAATTGCAGAGATGACGCATCACAATAGTATTATGCATCTTAGCTGCACGCTTTATCCAAGAAGCGATGGAAGCAATGCAATCGATACGTATCTCGAAATACGATTTCTCATCCATCTCATCTAGACATTCGATTAGCAGTTTAATGTGACGTAGACCAACCAAATCCTTTGATTTATGTTCTATGTTATACCAGAAATCTTTGATCAACTCGCAGTTGTTCTGACGACGTCGGAGAAGACCAAATGCAAAAATGAAAACTAAAGTAAAACGTTGGTTGTACTTGTTTTCTCGGATGAAACAGCGCGCGTTTTCGTTTTCGTTTTCTGAAGCCAGAATACGAACGAGATGTCGGGCCGCAAAGAATTCTTGGAAGCTCAGATGAATAAAGTAGTGTTGTTTCTCCGTCTCTGATCGTTCAACGTTCGACTGATCATCGTAGGATTGAAGAACTCCGATATTCAGGGATTCTTCGTGCACGTTTTCAGAACATTTCATTTTCTCTTCTATCTTTGTTAGAACCTCCGGTTCCAAAATAATATTGGTGGATTTTAATGCGTCGAAGGCCACGTTTTCTAAAAATTGCAGATGCTCATGGCATTTCTCTTGAACTTTTTTTCGCTCGTTTGCGCGTTGCACTGGTTTCGTTTTTGCAGATGTATGCGACAGAGCTTATAGACCACCTCATGGTACAGATCGGTTACAGTCAATCCTTTTTTTTCAAACAGTTTAGGATCGCTCGAAGTAGTGCAAATGAGATATAGATTGATTGGAATATGTGCGATACCCCAAATGGTAGGATTCGATTTTAGGAAACTAAGCACTGTTTCGCACTTCGATTGGATATCTTGTGACATTTCGCCAGTTGGTTTGAAGTACTGCTTCACGAATGCGACGATATTATCATCGGTAAATCCTGTTATTTCCATTCTAGTGTCATATGGGTAATCCATTGCGTAGGGTCGAGTTGTTAGAATGTGGTGGTATTGGTGAACGATTTCGTCGAACGGTCCTTGCAATGTTTCTGGAATGTTTTGCACAAATTCATCGTAACCGTCTAGTATCCAAAGAATTTGACCGTTCCTACACTGGTCTTTGAATTTTAGCGTAACTTCGTCCGAAGGTGTAACATCGATTCTGTATTCGTTATTCACAAGATCAATGACACTGTACTTGTTATTTGAATACTTTTCTTTGGTTAACTTTCGCAATTGGATCAGAATGATGAGTTTATATTCTTTGTTCCAAAGTTCATCTTGGGCCCAACGGTTGATGACGTATTTGCAAAATGTTGATTTTCCGATTCCAGCTCGTCCAAGCACGAGTATTTTTTTTGGCGAACTCTTGCAGTTTTTGAAAATATCCTCTACATTGATTGTAGTTTTGGTACCATAGATCTCTTCATAAGTACCACGGATTTC